TTCAACAGTTGTCACAGGCAGCTGCCTGAGGAGGCATCACAAAAATAGCAAAAATGTGGTAGCAAGAGAGTGGTGGTACTTGTCTGGAGTACCCTGCAGCCTCCAGCAATTTGTGACAAGCATTTTATGCTGCTAAATTATGTAATTTAGAAAATAAATCTAAATACTAAGTGGGGTTTTTTATATCCTCACTACTTGTATTGCTACATAATAATGGGAGGCTGTACACATGAATTTTTAAATTTTTTTCCCAAAGATAGTAGGATGATTTCAATATAGTTATTGAGAAATGCTGTTTTATAGCAATTTTCATTAGGAAAAACAAAACCAAACCTCAGACATTAGTGAAACTTCTTTATACTCAACACTGCAAATTGCATATTGGAATTGATTCAAGTAAAGGTTGATGTCCCCAGCAAAGAAAGTGATGATGTTTCCATTTCATGGGAACATGTGTTCCATTTCACTTATTTTGGCCATTTTAGCATCTCTTCATAATATTTTAATTTCACTAGCTCTGGTCATGTTAGAACCTTACTTTAAGTGTTGAAGTCAGTGACTCTTGATTTCTGGCAGTTGTTTGTGCAAGTTGTGTTTTCCCACGTTTCTCTGTCAAGCTGCATTTGTATGTACTGCTCCCTGATTCACCTGAATTGTAATACTGGCTAGGTTCACATCTTCATTTTTCACTGTAGAGATTTCAGACATAACTCCTACATGTGGAGTTCAACATTTCTTACTTTTGTTCTTTTTTTATTCCCACAGTTGTTTTCAGAATAACGTTGAGATCCACGTTGCACATATTCAGAGTGGTCTGAGCCAGATGGGAAACTTACATGCTTTTGCAGCCAATAACACCAACAGAGACTGAAAACTTCCTTTCAAGTGTACAGCAAGTAGTTCTGGAAAATCTTCTTCCTTTCTATAGGCTTCACCAAATACCCTAACTGCCAGAAGATAAGGGAAGAGAAAACCTCTCAGAAGGGACCCTTTTAAATATATTATATCTGCTTCTTAAGGAAACCAGCGTTACATTAGATTTCTCCATTTGTTATTCACATGCAGTAGTTTTGCTAACTGGTAATCTCTTAGTAATTGCATTGATTATAGTAAACTTGAAAGCATACTTTCATATGATTTGAACTTGGTTTTTAAAAGTTCAGGTGAGTTCTGCACACCTCTTGCTGTTGGATCTCCTGGTATGTTAGAAGTGCTGAAGAGGAAATGGCTGGAGTTAGTAGGCACATGGCAGGTCTTTGTTGTGTAAAGCTCCACATCTGTGGAGCTCTTGGGAGCTGCCAGCTCAGCCCTTGGGAAGCCCTGACCTAAGGAAGCAGCAGCAGGATACAGCCAGCAAACATAAGCTGCAAACTGGAGGATGTTGGGCGGGTCTATCGATCAGTCAATTGTTGGAACTCTTAATTTATCATAACTTATAGAAGGAGTCTAATGAAGGAATATAAAAATGGAACTGTTAACTTTCCAGAAAGAGATTGGTTATGGCTTTTTTCCTGCACATGGGACAAAAGTGTTTTAGGTGGTATTTTATATAAGTGACTGGTTAAACTTACTGTTTTTCCAAATTCTTGTTTGTTTTGCACAAGTTTAAATTAGATTACTGGTTATTCAACAATACCCACCATACATAAATATGAAGATTTTTATAATTACACATAACCAGTGAGGTAAACTGCAAAAATAAGAAGTGATAGCCTGCCTATACCTTTTGGAATGTTAATCTTGTAAAAAGTGTGTATTGGTTTGTTTAAATAGTCTTGTAAAGCTTCTGTGTAATGAATTGTTTCCAGATATGGATTTTCAGAGATAGCTGTAGAGATGTTTTTGATTCTTTTAGATGCCTCATTAAATAAGGTCTTTTATATGTTAATGTATAAAGAATATGTAAACAGGATTATTTTCAATTTTAAAATTTTGTATAGTTTAAAGATGCTTCTGTATTCTGTGTTGGTATTGTGCCACTGCAAAACTTTAGTGCAGAGTTTATATTTAGCTAAATTTGTTCTGTTAATTAAGAGAAATGCATAAATCTTTTATTCTCAATGAAATTTGTAACTGAATAAATTGACCTATGAGAGTTGATATATTTCACAAAAATGCAAAATTTTTTGCAGATGGTCTCAGGTCATTTTTTTAAGAGAAGCTAATTGCTGAAAATGAAATGTTATGAGGATGAGGTGAGTAGCTATTTCAAAAGGTATTTAAAAAATTTACAAGGGATACTATAAAATAATGATAAACACTAATTTAGCTGAGTTACCCAGGAAAACCTACCTCTCATAATGCAATAGAACATCACAGTGGTCCCTGCAGTTGCTTTTGTAATTATATCACTCATTATTTTGTGGTGTTTGATAAAGACAGAAAGGACTCCTCTGCCACCACCCTTTTCATGTAAACAGAGAAAGGTGCCCAAGCCTAATTTAAGGTGCATTAGTTTAGTCAGGCAGGAAGGAATCTGCCCTACAGCTAACTCAGGAGGAAGGAACCATCCCCTGGCACCCCTAAACTCAGGTGTCTGCTGCTCCCTGTGCTCTGATCCCCTCCTGCTGCTGGGACTCAAGCTCAGCATGAGCACTGACTGCTTGTGGGGAGCAGGACTTCAGTAGGAAACACCAGGAGGGTAAAGGGGCCCTGTTGGGCAAACATCCCAGACTGAGGGGGAGACAAGTTGTAGATACCAGAGGATTTAGGAACCTGCTTTTCATGGCAAACTTTTATCCTACTGGACACAGAATACATTGCAATAACCACCACACTCCAATCTCTGATGATGGTTTTACATGTGGATACTTAAATGTGCCCTCCAGGATGTTTTCTGATGCTGTAGGGTTTTTTAATTATTGGAGGGTAGTATATCATAGAAAGATCTGTCATTTGTGATTAGCCATTTACCTTCACATGTATGCACATCTTTTCTTTTCTTTGCAAGGCTGCATTTCTCCTTGCTTGGGTCAGAGTTAATGTTGAATCTTGGTGACAGTAACAAATCCAGCTGCTTTTGCTGAAGGTGCCCCAAGCATAGCAGGAGTCTCAAGAGCTCACTGCAGCTACCATACATGAAGTCTGCAGAACAAGTTGCTTTGATTTATTATAATCAGTAAACTTGAATTTACCCTGAGCCCCCAGGAAACCATGGTCTCATTTTCTGTGTCTTCCTACAAGTTCTTCTCTCCTGGGGTTTGCCTGATCCCCAGCATAGCACCCAAGTCTGCTTGGGACAGGTGGTGCCTGAGGTAGGTTGGTTGGGTTTTGGTTCATGTTTTTTTCAAGGATACCTCTGGATTTTTTTGATGGAGAGTACTAATCAGCAACCCTGCCATGCCACTGCACCTTGCAGTCCAAGCAGCATTCACGTGTCCCAGGTCTCACAGCACAGGTATGTTATGGGGTGGCACTGAAGGATTTTGTGAATTGGTAGCCTTATTCTGTAGGGCTTGGTTCCTGGTACAGGGTATTTCATTTTTCCTGTACTTCTGATATTTGGGTGCTTTTCCATAATTTATAACTTGCTCTGCTAGGCTCTGAAGTACTGCTTTATAAGCAGGAAGAATTTGTCTTATGCTCAAAATACATACAGAGTAATATGTCCTTTCTCAATAAATTGAATTAGAGGAGAGACTTCTGTTGTTACTGGCTTTGCCATTCTCAGTGCAGAGCCTTTCAGCCCATGAGAGATCATGTGAACAGCTTCTGAGTAGTCCCTGCCTACAATTAAAGCACCCTTACAGTGTCCACAAAATGCTCCCATTTTTCTTACTTTAACATTATCCTTGGCTTAAGTGGCAGACCTGGAGGCTTTTGTCTGAGCACTTGAGATCTGGGAGTTTGTATTGCTTAGGCCAGACATTCCCATTTTCATTTAGGGATGGGGATGTTTGTTTAGGGCAGATTTAAGACAAATACTGACAGGGAAGTTTAAGGCAGTTTCTGTAACCTGTCCTTTGGGCCCCTTAGGTCTCTTACCAACATCTGAACTGCAGCCATAGCTCTCCAGGACCTGGGAGGAGAACCTGCAGCTGGGATATCTACCACTCCTCTACCCCACCATCAGCCACGGTAAGAAACCTTGCCCCTGCACCAGGTACAGACACAAGCAGATCAAAAATGTAAACCTTTATTTTCTTTTCCTTGGTCAAAAAACCCCGACAGACCACATTTCTTGGTCAAAAAACCCCGACAGACCACATTTTTTACGACAAGCCCCCACCCCCAAAACACAGTGGATTTGGGTTAGCTTTTTGGCTAAAGAAGGTTAAATACATACACTAAACATGATACAAGAAAGCTTTAAATACAGTGTAAAAAGATGCCCTCAGCTGATGGAGCCGACCCGTATCTCTCTTAAATAAATAGGTACAATCAGTTAGTAGCGGATAAAGTGCAACAGTGGCAGAGCAGCAGTGAGGTAGCGCGGTGTGTGCCTGCTCCCCGCCCGAGCGGCGGGACGGGCTCCGGCGGGAGGGCTCAACCCGCCCGGTTTAACTTCCTCCGGGGCCGGTGCCGGTGCCGCCGCGGCGGCGCTCACAGGGCGCGGAAAGCGCCGAGCGCGTTCTCCTCCCACTCGGAGCCCGACTCCGAGTAGCCGCTGGTGTCCTCGGCGTCCGACACGGGCGAGTACTGCCCGCAGAAGGCGCGGGCCGGCGGGAAGGGGCCGGCGGCGCTCCCCGCGAACGAGCCGGGCTCGGCCCCGCCGGGCGGGAAGCCCTCGAAGCCGGGGCCGGGGGGGAAGCCGGCGGCGGGCGGCCACGCGTAGGGGGCCGAGCCGTCCTCCGTGCGGGCGGCCGCGGAGAGGGCGCAGCGGGGCCGCTGCAGGGCGGCGAAGCGGGGCGGCCGCGGGCAGCCCGGCGGTGGCGGCGCGGCGGGGCCGGGGCGGGGCGGGCCCCGCTGGCGGCGGGACTTGGCGCGGCGGTTCTGGAACCACACCTGGGGAGGAGAGAGGGCGGCGGTGAGCGCGGCGCGGCGGCCCCGGCGGCATCGGGCACGGCGCGGCCGGCGCCCCTCACCTGGATGCGGGACTCGGGGATCTGCGTGGCGTCGGCCAGTTTCTCCCGCAGGTAGATGTCGGGGTACATGGTGTCCTGGAACACCAGCTCCAGCGTCTCCAGCTGCGCCGCCGTGAAGCTCGTCCGCTTCCGACGCTGCGAGGCCGCCGGCGCCCCCTCGGACGGCTCGGCGGGGGGAAGCGCCCTGAGGGCGGGCGAGGCCGGGCCGGGCCCGCCGCCCCCCGGCCACCTGCCCGCGGGGAAGGCGGGCGGCTCCGCCGGGGGCTCCCCGAAGCGCAGCGCGGCCATGGCAGCGGCGAGGAGCGGGCTCGGACGGCCGGCCGTGCTTTATAGCCGGGGAGGGGGCTCGGCAGGGGCGGGGGTGCGAGGGGCGGCCCGGCCCCCGGGAAGGTGAGCGCCGGGCTCCCCGCCGGGCCCGCGCCCCGGGCTGCCCGTGGGGTGCCCGGCGGGGCGGCCCCTGCCTTGCCTTGCCCAGCCCAGAGGAGTCAGTGATGCCCTAAGCGTGCCCCACGGGGTGGGTGATGGCTGGCAGCCCCGGCTCCCCGCCCGACACACAGACAGCAGGAGGGAGCAGGGAGCGGGCTTTGCATCCGCACGCAAAACAGCTGGGTGTTGGGAGTTTGGCACCCGGAGAGGACCAAAACAGCGGCTGGGCTGTTTCTAATACAACGTCTGGGCTGTTCGGGTTATGGAGTTCATTCACTTATGGAGGTAGATGCTCCCGAGCAGCTGACTGCTTTGGCAAGTCAAGGATCGTGCATGGTGTGAGACATAAAGCAAACAGGAGTTCTCTCTTCCCGTGGTCGCGACTGCTCCGCTTGCAGTGCTTCACGGCCAGCTGTGCGGGTGGTGTACAGATTCCTGCTGCTGCAAAAACTTCTCTTTCTTTTTAAGATGCACGTTAAATGCACCTGGAAAGCTGCAGCAGAGGCAGACATCGGTGTCATCACCTTTTCCACCACTTGCTAATGCCTTTACACATCACACTGGCACATCCCGTGTGCCTCTGCCAAAACTGATTCCCAGACAAGAGGTCTTGTGCTGAAAAACTGCTTGCACACCCCAACAACACCAAGGCACTTAAAACGGTTTGTCCTCATATTACTTTTTATAGCTGTCTCCCAAGAAAAATTACTTTGTACAGAAAGTCATGTTACAATTGTTCAAAGCTGTTTTTAGAAGTTTTGTTCCTAAAACATTTGTGCTTTTACATGTGCAGCAGCCCAGATGCTTTCATGACTGAAGTTTCTAGGTTGTTCCCAAAATCATGGGCTGTAGCCTGCAGACAGGAGTCAGACCCATGAGACTTGAACAATGTTCTCAGTTAGCAGTGTCACAAGAGGGCACAGTGGTGAGAAAGGGCACAGGTGAGTGGGGCTCCAGAAAGCACAGACAGCATTATTTAAGGTTTTTAGTGTAAAACTCATTGAATCACTCTGCAGATTGCTTGCAGATTTAGAAGATGCCACAGGTGGCAGCAAAAGAGAATTATTCCAGATTATATTTACATGATGAATGTTTTATTGTATTTTACATCAAATAATATTCTGTAAAACATAGCAGAGGTTTATTTTCTGAAGAATTTAATCCTGCTTGGAGTTATGCCATTATAAGAATATAGTTTCTAGGATTTAGTTAAGGTTGATTAAGGCAGCCAGACAGAGAGAGCAGGTTTTTGAGGAAATGTGTTTTTTCACACACACACGTGTTTTTCTTTCAGCAGCAGCCAGGGCTTAAGGAGCTGCTGGCACCACAGGCCCCCCACTGTTCTCCCCTGTCCTGCTGCCTTCCCTTTAGCTGAGCATGTGTCAGTCCACACAGTGTGCTCAGGGAATTTACCCAAGTTAAATTAACTGTACAGTAACAACAGTTGGGGTTGGTTGGTTGGGTGGGTTTTTTCAATCCAGATCTGGCATTCCTACCTATAAGTTATCAATGCCCCCAGGATGGCTGTACAAGTGAGAGAACACTGCCAGATGGAGCAGGAGGGAAATGAGGGGATCCCATCTGGGGTGCTTCTACCTGGATCTGATTCTGAGCTAGCAGAGAACAAAACTGAGACAGACTGCCCAGGAGCATGGTGGTTTTCAGTGTCAGACTTCCCATTGAGACAGCTGCCAATGTATATTGAACAGATACTCAGGAAAGAGTGAGTACTGGGAGCTAATGACCTGTTCCCAACTCATAACCTGGAAATGGGCTGACTCTTTGATCTCAGACTGCTGTGACATCCTTCAGACCAAAAGCCTCCTCTGTTCCCTTGCCCTTTATGGTTCCAGAGGTGTTCCAACAGCTGTCTTGTGACAGCAGCTGACACACTGCCCTTGGTGAGGAAAAGAACAGTGAGGCTTCCCAGGCCTGAAAACTTTCATTGGGAGATTCAGATGTAACAATTATAGCCTTTTAAAAACTCTACATTGTTACAATGAAAGTAAAATAACTGCCACACCCTACATTTTGTGGCATTCCACGTTGTCCATGCAGTGTGACCTGTGGCTCTGCCCTGTGGAATGGGAAACTGTGTGTGAGTGAATTGTGGGCAGAACCTTTGGTGCAGCCCAGGATTGCACACACAGGCTCTGGCTGTGGGGTTCCCACTCAGACTCCTCATTACCTGGCTGCAGACAGTTGTATTTTCTAGCAGACATCCCTGTGAGTGGATGAGACTGCTCTGGGCAGGTCAGGCTCTGCTGCCTGTCTGCAGGTTCTGTTTATTCTAGTCTGCCTCAGTTTCCCTGTCTGGGCTGGCTGGCTATTACCAGCATGTTCACATATCTTGGTGATGAGTTCCTTTCTGCTTACCAGTGCTATGTGCTTTTGGAAAAGCAGAGCAATTCTGGAGCAAGACCAGAGCACAGGAATTATATTTTCATTTTCTTATTGCTCAGAGCATCACACACTAATTTTTGTCAGTGGGTTCCTTGTGGCCACCCTTCTATATTGGCATGGTTTGAAACAGGTCTAAGATTGAATAAAAGCAAGGGGGACAGTACTGATTGTAAAGGAGTACAATCAGTACTCAGTACAGTACACTTGTAAAGGAGTGTGCTTTAGGTGGACAGCAGAATAGGAGGCTTCTGCCTCCTCCCAGGCAAGGAGGATGACATGAAAATCAGCTCCTTGCTTCCTTCTGGCAGTTCTGTCCCCTCCCAATGCTGGCACACTTCTCCACAGCCCCCACAGAGAATCATTCCATGATGTCCCAAAAGCTGTGCCTGTGGGGAAGTGTGCCTCCTGCAGCAAGGAAAATGTGCTGTGCCTGGATTCAGTGGAGTTTCCTTTCCCTCACAAGTAGTTTTCCATCCTGCTGTGCCCCTTGTAGGCTGACAAAGAAGTTTTTGATGCCTTGTAGGCACCAATATCTTCATGGCATCATACCCGGGTAAGGGCTGGGAGCATTTAGAAGACATTCAGTTTTGTCCTTTCCTGTTTTCAGACTTGCTTTTATTTGTGTCCCACCAAGGTGAAAAGAAGGAATTTTTGTCTTCCCTCAAGAAGCAGAAGATGTGACAGAAGTCCAGAAGTGGCTTGCTTTTTGAAATTAACATGGCAAAAACTGAGAGAGCTATCTCTAAGGGAAAGCAGACTGCCTTGTGTTGATATGAAAAATTACAGGCTGCTTCAGAAGCTGTTTACATTGATCTTCACTCTGTTTGTCAGGAGAGAAACTTGTGATGCTTTTGTCTGTGCTGGGAATGCCTCAGCAGTGAGGCATCTGTGCCAAGAGGACTCACAACACAAAATGTGCCTGTACCTGCAATGAAACAGCTCTAAGCTTCAGCTGGAGAACACAGCTCTCACATCACTGCTGCCAGCTCTGAGCATCCAGCAAGGGCAAGACAGGCTGTGAAACACCAAGGCTGTGGAGCAGCAGGGGGAGATGGGCCCTGTGGTGAGTTTCAACCTTTTGTCAAGCTGGGGAGGTTCTCTCAGGCTCTTGGTGCTACAAATTCATCTTTTAAATGTGCAGCTGAAGATGCTGCTTTATGTGACTTGAGGAACTTGGAGCTTGGGAAGCCCCCCAGAATGCAGTGTGACATGCAATCATGGTTTTGCTGACAAGACAAACACAGCCCTTGAAATAACCAACATGTGAGCAGTTCTGCTGCTCAGTCCTGGAGGGAATGGGACACCTGGGGATTTGCCATGCAGTGATTTGTAGCCAGCCCTGCAGCCTTGGCTGTGTTCAAACTCCTGTGGCTTGCAGATGTCACATCACCCTGTTTCTTCTGGGGCTCTGCAGGGACACAGTTTGTGCACAGTCTTTTGTCATTCCAGCAAGGTTTATTGTTGTTTTCTTTCTGGTGACTGTCTTCAACATGAATTCTCTGGTCACTAAACCTGAGATTGAGGTTTTCAGAAGTGGCGATTTAGCTGTCTGCTGTCAACCTGAGTAAATTTGCAAAGATTTGGTATCTTGGAGATCTCAATTTCTACATCAGTTTTAATTGAGATTGGCCAAAATGTTCAAATCTCATCACAGAATCATAGAAAGGTTTGGGTTGGAAAGGACCTTAAAAAATCATCTAGTTCCAACCCCACAGACAAGGCTGATCAGAGCCCCATCCAACCTGGCCTTGAGCACTTCCAGGGTGAGGCATCCACAATTTCTCTGGGGAACCTGTGCCAGGGCCTCAGTACCCTCACAGTGAAGAATGTCTTCCTAATACTTAATCTAAACCTCAAATCTCAGTTTGAAGCCATTCACCCTTGTCCTGTTATGACATGCCCTTGCAAAGAGTCCCTCTCCATGTATTAGGATACTGACCAAAAAAAAAAAGGGACAGTGGTCACACAAACCTGATTTCATTAATTTAGAGAAAGTTAAAAAAAAATAAAACCATATTTTTGCTGTTAAGACTTAAGTTTAAGTATCCCTAGATAGCCTGTCTCTGAAGAAGCAATCCCTGGATAATTATCCTACAAATTAAATTAATTGTAGTCCAGATACATTTTTATGGTTGCATATATAACTACATTTGCTCCAGGGTTTCTGCTGGCAGGAAAATACCATATAATTTCTAGCTTCTCTAGCAGGGCCCTGATAGCAAAAATTGTTAATGCATGCTAGGCTTAGGTTTTGAGGTTTTTTCATTCTGCCTAAGAGGAAATCTTTGTATGAATACTTAATTTCCCTTTGATTGCTTCTAGTCATTGTGACAAAGCTCTTTACAACCTCGAAATGCTTTTAGAGGTTTATCAGGTCTTCCCAATGTGCAGACACAAGATCTATATATTGAAGCCCATCCTAGCTTTTAGGTAGAGTTCTGAGATCTTGCAATGATGTCATGTTTTTAATTTAGAGTTGTCATTTTTCTAGTCCTCACAGCTTTAACAAGGAAGAGCTTGAGCAGGGTGGGCTGTGTGTAGTCCTCACTCTGGCATGGTGGTTTGCAGATGCCTTGAAATAAATTCTTGGAAGGCCCAAGCTGCCTGTCCATTGTGAATATTCATGTGTGTAGAGTCATGTATTCATGTGCCAGAGTCCTGTGCCAGGTCAGAAATGAGACTTGCCCATGCTCCAGGCTGTCCCAGTGGGTGCCCAGGTGCCTGAGCACTGGGAAGTGAAAGGGAGATGATGCTGTCAGTGTCCTGAGAGTGACTTTGGCCAAGGGACTGAACCCCTTTCAGCACTTTTGTATGGTACAAAAGGTACATTGGGCACATCCCCAGTGTGGTGGAGAACCAGAACCATGTCAGAACCAGAACCTGAGCACTGGGGAGTGAAAGGGAGATGGTGCTGTCACAATGTCTGGAGTGTGACCTTGACCAAGGGGCTGAACTCCTTTCAGCACTTCTGTATGGTACAAAAGGTACATTGGGCACATCCCTAGTGCCATGGAGAACCAGAACCATGTCAGAACCAGAACCTGAGCACTGGGGGGTAAAAGGGAGGTGGTGCTGTCAGTGTCCTGAGTGTGACCTTGACCAAGGGGCTGAACCCCTTTCAGCACTTTTGTATGGTACAAAGGTACATTGGGCACATCCCCAGTGCCATGGAGAACCAGAACAGTGCCAGAGCCTGGTGACAGCAATCCCCAGCACAGGTTATTTCAGGTTTGCCCAGCAGCTCTGTGCACAGACAGAGGGTTAAAATAAATGCAATGTGACCAGAGGTTTTGTTCTCTCTGAAAGATGCCTGCCTTGCTTGGCTCAGACCTGATGACCTCTATAAATGCACAATCTATTTTCCTTTGAACATTCAGCTGTGTCCCCTTGGCTTCGGGCATGAGGAACTAATAGTGTGTTGTGACTTTAGCCCTGCGCTTAGGAGGGGGATGTGACTTGGTGGGGTGAGCCATTTCCTGGGAGGTGTGAGACGTGACTTCAAGACCTGCTGGTGCCGTTCGTGTATTGCGCTCCGAGGAGTTGATAAGAGCTTCAGACTCACAGAGAGCCTCGGAGGAAGCCGTGGTGGAGGCGGGGAGGCGCAAAGCCACGGCGAATGCATATGAAAAGATCAAGGGGCTGTATTTGCTAAACCCCAGCAGCAACAGAGCTGGGGCTGATGCCCAGGTTCAGAGAGCACCCAGACACAGCAACAGGGCAACAGCAGAGCATGTCTGATGGCTGGCAGCTGGCTCCCTACCATCGGAGGGAGAGGAGGATTCAGGATTTGGGAGTGGAAGGGAGATAAGAGCAAGTGGTGGAGGTGGGAAGAGGGAAAGGGCAAGAGGGAGGAAGCTACCTGCAGATAGGAGGGCCTGGCTGAAAGAGCATGGGGTGTTTAGTGTTGAATTTAAATATACTTAAACCTCAGCTTAACTTTGGGTTTTGAGATACCCTGAGAGTGGCAGGGTGCATGTACTCGACCCTCACTGATGATTCTGCAGTGAGGGGACATCCCACCAGCAAACCCTAGGCATAAACAAATCCTTGTTGCCATTTCTCTGTGTGCCTTCTCTGATTTTACATTTATATTTAATTTATCAGAGAACCCAAAGCTTCTATTTAATAGAATTTACTGTATTGCTTTGCTTACTCATATGCTCTGAACAAGGTCATTCCCAACTCTTAGACATTTTCCCTAATGAAGATTTGCTGAGAACTGTTGGTGCAGGTGGTTGTGTATACAAAATAATGGTGTTATCCAAACTCCCAAGAATGTTTAATTAATTTACTGTGAAAGCAAAGGAATATATTTGCAGATGAACAAAAAAAAAAAAAAAAGAAAGAAGGAATAAGATAATAATGTAAGAGCTAAGGAAAAAGACAGGACCATGTTTTCCTCCCTTTCATTCAGCACCTACTTAGGAGAGGCAGCCTGCCAGGGTGCAGCCAGAATACACACACAGAGTAGGGGATGGATAGCAAAGAGTCCACATTCTCCTCTAACAGCACTGGATAACACCATGAAAAACTCCAAACACTCCCCTCTCTTCCCTTTTCAGGCTCCTTAGCCTTAGCAAGCAGTGCTAGGGCATTGTTTTCTACCTTTTCTTGGCAGGCCCTTAAACCCTTATCATCATCCCCTGCATGTGGTAAGCTCTTCCTTCTACTCCAACTTAACAAATGAGTCACAAGAGTCTCTGTTTCTGTCTTGCAGTGTTTGGTATCTGAGAGCATCAGCTGCTGAAATGGATGGATTTTTATGTAAATGTTTATTTATTTGTTTGTTTGTTTGTTTGTTTGTTGCAGCTCCTGTCTCATGGTTATTGAGAAAAGGATCCAAATGTGAAGCAAGTTTTGCTCCAATGGTTCAAAACCAGAACAGAATACACCAGAACCAGAACCAGGCAATTCACCAGAACTGTCCTGGTATGGTTGGATGCCTGTTACAATATGAACACAAACCCATGATCTTTCTCTGCCCTTGGCTGCCCTGGTGCTGTTAAAACCCACCAAGTTTTCCCTCTCTGAGTAGGCCTGCCTGGAGAATCCTTCATCTGGCTTCCCTGTACTTCCCTGCTGCTTCTCAGGCATGTGCCAAGGTCAGTGCTCTGGCTTCAGTCTGATCATTCATTCTAAATGTTTGCCACCCTCATTTCTGATCAGTTTTGGAGATGGGGGACTTTTAGTCTCACATATAACACTTTCAACAAAACCATTTTGGCTTTGTTCTTGCATTTTTTTCTGGGCTCTTTAATTTCTAAGGTTTTCAAGCCTCTGTAAAGTTTGGAAGATTTTCAGGTTTAACATGTGGATGGAATGTGGGAAGTTTCTCCTGAGCTGGGGTTTTGCAGTTGATCATTAAATCAGCAGTACCACATGATCATAGCTGGGGAGTGCAGTGGTTACTATGCCATTTGATAAAGTCATTCTCTCCTGTGCATGAATTGACTCATATTTCTTTGCTATTTAAAGTCAAATTAAAGAGAAGTACCACGTAACACACTCGGTAGGTATTATTTCCGTGGGTTATCCTGACTTTTGTGAGCCCACAGCACAGTTTTCTGGTGCCTGACTCACAGAGAAGCTCCATGAATTTGCACAGATCAGTATCTCCATCTCCTCCCCCTCTATCCTGTCCCCCTGCCTCAGCCATCCCAGATAATTTGTCCAACAGAGTCCTGTGTGTTGGATCACTCTCTGGCAAAGGCGCTCTCATGTCCCTGCCTCCAGCCTGCACCACTGCCCCCCTGGGCTGCCCTGCTCATTCTCTCACTCCCATTTTACATCACAGCTGGTTTTCTTCCCCTTTTATTCAAGCTCAACTCCTCTGCTTTTATTTCTGGCAGGGTTATTTTTCTATTTGACTTTGGCTCTGTTTGCCAAGGCCGCACCCTTGTCACCTCCTTATTCTGATCCTCTCCTTTGTTGACTAAAGGTCTCCCTCTCCTTCCTTTTATTGGTACTTTCATCTCTTTCTCCATTATCTTTTAGTCCCCTTGATTCTTACCCCTCTCTTTTGCATATGACCCAGTTTGTTTTACATGTTACTTAGGGGATTTAAGACTTTTTCTCCTTGACAGCTTTTCTTCCCTGCCCCGGAAGGCTCTCTGTGCTGCTGGACACTTGGCAAAGAGCAAATGCATTTATTGCTGCAGATGGGACAGCTGCAATCCAAGGTGGATGGAGAGTGACTCCAGGCTGGGGTGATCTCAGCAGATCTCTACTGCCATCTTAGCCATCCCCCACATCTTTACAAGACCACGTTTTTCCTCTTTTGCAGTCACACCTTTGCAGCTGGGATGCCTCTTACATAAGGTATTTGAGGTAAGAGAAGGTTTAAAGGAATGCTGAGGGTTTGCTGCAGGTCTGAGTGATCAAAAAAGGGTGCAGCAGTGTCACAGTGTAGGTTTCTATTTGCAGTTCCACTGCTGCTGGCCTCTTGTGTCACTCACTGACAGTGCCTGAAATGTGGCTGTAAACAAAATGTTTGTGACAGTGGCTGGAGATTGCAGAACTGGGCAGGATATCACATCTATCACAGCATCACCTGGCTGTTTTACATCCTGTGTGTCCTGGTCAGTGCCAGCATAGCAGTGTTCATGGTTTTCTGGCATTTCAAAATCACTTTATTTCTCTCAAATTTTGCCAGGATAAGGGCAGAAGTGAGAAGATAATGAGTTTCCTTTGATTAATCTCACGTGGTTAAGCTCTCCTTCCTCTGTGCTTTGTATTTTTACCAACTACTGCAGGAAAAGTCCTGGCATGTACAAAGCAGTTCAGGATAAACAGGGAACTTGCTGCCACTAAAAATCCTGACAGACCAAGGACTGATCCTACCTGCCCACAGAGCTTGATTTTGCATCTCTTCAGTCAAATGGTGATCTTTCCTCTGTCTGCATGGAGCAGCCTCCTGCTTTAGGGACCAGGATAATTCCTAAGAGCCACACAGGTGTCCAGCCAAGCAAATCCTCCCTGAATGTTGCAGTCTTTCCCCATCTACTCAACCTGACCTCCTTTATTCCAAACAAGTTTTTGCATTTCAGATTTCCACAGCAGCAAGCTGCCATTAACAGTGTGTGACCAAGTCTGGGCTGTCCAAACACACCCATCAAATGCCACTGTCACTGCCTGTGACCCCATTGCTGAAGAGCAGGTGATGGCACACTGGCCAAGACACACAGGGCTGTTCCTAGAAGATGCCTGTTCCAGAGCTGGATTGCTGCCTGCTTCCTGCTCTCCAGGCCTTTATGTAATCTTGAAGCAGTGCAGCTTCACCAGGTTCCTTTGTCTAACCAAAGTGCAAAAGCTGTTTTCAGGTGGGAATTTTACTTAGGACTATGTGAAATGTGTAGGCACAAAGTGTTGCAAAAGACCAGGTCATTCATTTCAGGCCTGAGTGAATTCTTTCCCTGTCCACACTTCTCAAACTCTGGCCCATGTTTTCAGCAGCTGGAGAAACCATCAACCACATCACACAGAAGTAAAGACTTATTCACTTTTTTTTTCTTTTTTTTTTTCCACAACAAAAGGAGAGCCACTCCTGTGAAATCCTCTCCAGATCTCTGTGTCCAGGTTGCTGGTTTTCTCCATGTAGGCATGTAAAAATCATGAATTGTGAAAAAAGGAGTGATGAAGTGCTCTTTGGAGCACTTGCAGATATTGCACAGCAATAGCGTAGCTTAGATAATGGCAATTTTTCTTTCTCTGGGTGGAGTTAAAGCCATTTGGGAGTTGTTAATTGAGCATTGATATGAACAGAAAGGGGAGCATAACAAAGAGGACAGCAACAACCCTGAGGCTGGCTGGGAGACCTGTGTGGCTGCTGGTGTCATATGCTGAAGCAGAAATTGGTTTGACATTTTGGAGGGGAAGGCAGTGCTGGTCAGTCCTGGCTGTTGCACTGGGTACATGCTGATTCAATGGCTCTGAGGATAATGCATTTTGCAGCAGAGAGGAGATTGTGTCTGTGCAGTTCTCAGGAGGAATTTGCCATCATACCCCACAAACAGCAAGCAGTGCCAGGTTGTGAAAGGGCTTGTGCCAGTAAATCACCTGTGATGTTTTTGGCAGGCATCTAACCAACACCCAGGGAAGGCTCACAGACTGGTGATGCACCATCTCCTCCCATTTTGCACTGTCTGCTGGTGAAGGTAGGCTGGATATCCCTGGCTTGGCCCCCTAGAGGGACTTCTGGCCAGGACAGTGGTCCCTGTAAGATTAAGCAGAAGTCAGGCAAAGAGTAAGATATTTACATTTCTCCATGAGTTCATGTAGGATCCCAGAAGAAACAATACCTGAAAACCAAAGAGTCCTCAGTCCCAGACCAGAGAGGAGGTGCAGTGCATGTAAAGCTGTGAAAGTGCCCCAGGAAACCCAGGCCATTCACATGGAGTGTGTCCAGCCATTGAGTAGTAGAGACACTCACACACACACAAGGACAGTGTGGATTTAGACATTCTGGGGGCTAGACTTGAGTCCTGGATAAGCTTCAGCTTTGTTCCAACTAACTCAGCTTAATTATTTTCTTGAGAGTGAGTAGAGTGCAGAGCTCTCTCCCAAAAGCTCTGGAAGCTGCTGGTCCAGTTCAGAAAGGGGGCTGGGTGTGTGATGCTCCTCTCCAGTGATTTTTACTGCACAGGAGCTTTTAGCCAGGTTCCAGCAGCATCCTGGTGGCACCAGTGATAACAGTGTTAAAGCATTTGGCCTCTTTTGGTTTGGACACTCATCCATGAGGCACTGAGAGCTACCTACAGTGAGCATTACAGCTGTTGGTCACTGCTGACCTGGGCCAGCTTTGATTGCTGATCCTGAGAGGTTTCACTCTGTCATTCTTCTCCAGAGGTTTCTGCTCTTCCTGGAAAAAAAAATATTCAAGAGCATTTCTAATGGATGCAGAAAAAACAAGCAAACACATCCCCAGGCTTTTAGGTATTGCACTGCTTCCTGTGACCCTCTCTCCGCCCAGCAATGCCTAGATTTCAGGTTGCATAGGCTGGGTGGAATGTATTTTAGAACAAGACTCTATTTAGCCGTGATGTCAACTGCAGCCAACTATAAAAAGCTCAGTAATGCTCTTTGAAAGTGTAACAGCTGCTGCTCCACAGTCCCTGGTGTATTACAAGTCTGCCCTACTTCGTGTTCACACAACCAAAATAAAATACAATAGCAATCATTAAATAGTTCAAGGAATTTGGGACATAATCTCCCCAGAAACCAGAAGGAATTCAAGGTTAGACAAACTGAGTGATTTTGCATGGTTTGTTAACAGAAAGGGAATTTGCAAAATTGACTTTTACCTCCCATTGACTATGTGCTATCAATGATCCTTGCACAGTGACAACACAGCAGCAAACCTTCCTTTGGGCAGCTCTGCTGGGTGTTGTTCACACACACAAACTGAGCATTTTCATCCTTAACTGGATTTGGTCATGTATATTTAGAAAAATGCTGATCAGGCCAAAATTTCCCATAAAAGCAGGAAAGGAAACAGTTGAACAAAATTTTTTTATTAATCCAGATGAACAGACAGAAGTGAATGACTGTGGAATTATGCTAGCACTGCACACCCTCACTGTACTGGAGAGCTGGTTTTGGCTGGGTCTCTGTTAAGGACAGCCTTGAAATGCTGGATATTGTAGTAAAATGTTTTGGGTTTTGGTTTTTTGGTTTTAAATCTCAGCAATAAACATTCAGGAGCGATCCCCGCATTTCACTCTGTGGAATTGCTTCTGTTGAGGACTTGGAAAAATCTTCCAGGCACATGTCTGCTTTACTAGAAAATGGGAAAGGTTGAGCAACCTGCCCAGAATGATGTGAAAGAGTGGCAGAGCAAAAAGGTGATCCTGGCTGTGCTTTCCCCCTTCCCCAGCTGCCTATCTGCCATCTGGTGAGCTGGCATTACCAGTGGCACATCCAATCCCATTGTCTGAAACCAAGAGACAGCTCAAACAGGATGAGTCCAGGAAGCAACAGCTACATAAAAAAGAAGGGAAGTTTCAGAAGAAAATCTCCTGAGTGCCCAGTTTGCTGTAGTGATTGCTTGAAGTCCTGCTGGGCTGAGCTGTGGCTTGGCAGGGCCAGCACCCTCCTGCCTTGCAGAGCCTCCAGCTCCTTTCTGCACCCCTGACAGGAGTAAACAGTGCAAAGTGGCTGCAATGTTGCAGGCAGGGTGGTCTGGTTTGTAGTGCAGATTGGCCTTTGTAGTGTGGGTGGGCAGCAGGCTGTTCCAAGGGACGTGCCAGCTCCTGTGACAGGGGTTTGGAGCAGCCCTGAGCTCACCAGTGTGTGAGGAAATGTTTGGCTGCCAGACACGGCTGTTCCCAGAGGTGACAGGAGGCTGTTCCCAGAGGTGACAGGACAGTCAGGCAATGGGAGCAATGGTCTGGCACCAGCCAGAGCCATGGGGATGGAAACATGCACACCATGGGATGGGCTTGGCGTGTCTCTGAGCACTGGCTGCACCCAGCTCCCAGGAAGGGATGTTTGATCCATGAGGGAATCAGAGGCACCAGAAATGAAAGCAAGCAGTCTGCAGGCAGACAGAAGGCTTGGGAGGGAGCCAGGGAGCAGCCCCAGTGCCTCTCCCTCCCTCCCTGACAGCTCTCTGGAAACCCCCTCAGGCTCCCCCACCTTGCCAGGGCTCCTGGCTGTTCATGGTGTGAGCAGGAAAAGGACCTGGCCGGGGAGGTGGTTTCTTCTACCCACAGATAAACACACAGAGTATGCTTGTTTAAACAAAGTCACACTGAAGAAAGGTGACTTGTGTCAACACACAGAGACTCATTTACATGCTGCAGTGTGTAGCAATATGGTGTCAGATAAGAGCTGGCACATTTTCTGTGTCCAGCCATGTACACATAATGGTGTCACAGGGGGAGATGAGTTGCTGTGGAATTAAAGGTTGTGTTTTCTTTAACAGCACCTAGGAAACAGGGTACTGGAAATCTTTGAACATTCAATAACTTCCCAGCCAGTGCCTCTAACAGTCTGCAGATTATTTAAGATTTTACTATATCCCTTGACAACTAAGAACTCAGTTCTTTAGATGTTGAGCAGCCTCCATTCTAAATAGGGACAGCTGAAACTTTTCACAAAGCTTTTCTTTACCTTTGTCTGAGGATTTGTGACAACCAAGTGGCTTCCACACTTCTAGAAGTGAGACTGGTGAATTGTTGTCCATGAGCCCATTTGATTAAAGAAGAGAAAAAACAATCCTGCAATTCTAGATGGGTGACAAGATGAAATTCTCTGTGTAAAAAAACAGCCATGGAAACCTCGGGCTCCCAGTGCTCTGACTCCCTGGCTATGATTTTCCACAGTGACCA